TTGACATCTCAAATGTCTCTGACTTTTCCCCATTTACCAAAACCACTGCAGAAGGCCTTTTACATAATTTTCCTATCCACTCTCTCATTCTACTTCCTATTCCCAATGCTACCAAAGTGTCCATCATAAAACTCCAGCTGACTCTATCAAATGCCTTTTCTGCATCGACCAAAAGCAAGACCACCGGAAACTTTTCCTTTTTACATTTCTGAGTTAACAATAGCGATCTTATCCCATTATCTCTACCTTCTCTACCCTGAACGAACCCAACCTGATCTCTGTGTACCCATTCAGGCATTAGGTCTCTCAACCTATTTGCCAAAACCTTTGCATATAGCTTCGTATCTGTATTCAGAAGCGATATAGGTCTATAACTTGAACATTGGGAAACATCCTTTCCTTCCTTGTGAATAAGGACCACCTGCGCCTGCAAGGATTCCCTCTTCATTTCCATATCTCCCCCCAGGGCATTCATATAACTCTTCAATTTAGGCATCAGCAATTCCATATATTTTCTATAATACCTCACAGTATAGCCATCCGGCCCAGGACTCTTTCCCATCTTAAAACTTTTTAATGCCATTTTTATTTCATCTTGTGTAATTTCAGAGTACAGCAAATTTAAAAGTTCTTCATTTAAATTTGGTAGGTCTGCATTTTTTAGATATTCCTTTCTTTTTTTCATTATTTACTTTATCATCCTTACTTATAGGGTCATGTGAAGCGATGTTGTATAATTTACTATAATAATCCTTAAATACCTTCGCAATTTCTTTAGTTGAAGACACCAATTCTCCCTTGGGGTTTTTTATTTTGTCTATATAATTTCTATTTTTCTTTTTTCTCACAGCTCTCATCAAGAACTTTCCCGGTTATCTCCCCATCTATATCTCTCCTCTATCACCTTATTAAAGACTCTCCTCTTTTCTTCCTCCATCATATTCTCCAATTCTTCCTTCTTTTTTATGACTTTCTGTTTAATCTCTTTAGTTATATTATTTTTATGCAGTTGTTCTAATTCTGTTAATTCCTCCAAGAGCCTACTAATTTTCTCTCTCCTTTCTCTTTTCTTTTTTGCCCCGATTGCGATAAGGATTTTTCTGATATACGCCTTATGGGCCTCCCACACTGTAGCTATTGAAACTTCCCCCGTCTCATTTTCCTTAAAAAAATCTCCTAATCTCTTCTCCAATCTTCCTATCAGTGTCTTGATCCATAAGTAGTGATTCATTTAACCTCCATGACGTGTCTCTTACCAATCCCCTCCTCCATCCCAATTTCATTATAACAGGGGCATGGTCCGATAGAAACATTGCTTCTATTGTTACTTTAACTAAGCTTTCAATAAATTGGTGATCGATCAAGATATAATCTAATCTGGAATAAACCTCGTGTACACTTGAAAAAAAAGTAAAGTCTCTATCCTTCATATGCAGGAGTCTCCAACTATCCACTAATTGACATTCTTTCAATTCTTTTTTCACTAATCTCAAAGACCTACTTCCCTCTCTCTGAACCTGAGAAGTCGTATCCATCTGTGGGTCTATACATAGGTTAAAATCTCCGGCCACTATCAAAAATCCTTTCTTAAAATCCAGCAAGCTTTTTAAAATTCCTTTCAAAAATACCTCTGGTTTTTTATTTGCACAATAAATATTAGCAATTGTACACTCCTTATCCTGCAGCTTACCTTTCAAAAAACAAAAACCTCCCCTCAGGATCAGTTTTCCTATCCTCCAATTCAAATCTTATATTCTTTGCAAATCCTATAGCAACACCTTTTGCCCTCTTTATAGGGGAATCTGCATAAAACCATGTTGGATAGTATCTAGAGTTCAACTTAACATTTGATTTTAACTCAAAATGTGTTTCCTGTAAAAATACTACTGAAATTGCTCTATGTTGAAGTTCCCTAAATAATCTAAACCTTTTCCCGGGACAATTCAACCCATTTACATTATATGTTATAAACTGTAACTCCTCTATTCTTTTAATTTTTTTTCCTTTCTTTCACCTCTCTCTCTACTTTCCTTGTTTTCCTTTTTTCTACTTTTCCCTTCCTTACTTTTCCCTACTTTATCATTCTTCTTTTCACGTAGGATATTAACCTTAAAACCCTCTCCCCTCCTCCCCCCCCTCCGCCACCCATCCCTTCCCCATTTTGGCCTATCAACTGCCGTCCAATCATTTGAGGGTTCTAACCCACCTTAGATTTAATACTTGGGGTTGAGCTCTAACCCTGCATGGCACCTCCCCTTTCCCACCATCCCAAGTTTCTCTCCTCCATCTCCTAGACCTCTGTTTGGCTCCCCCTTAACTCTAACACCCCTCCTTCTTATATACTTTTGTCTCCCGAGGGGATGCAGAGGAAAGAGGGGGACCCAGGAACAAGAGAGAGCAAGTAACAGGGAGGGAAGGAGAGGGGGTAGGAGTCAAAAGAGAAAAAAAAAAGAGATATTTCCTCCTCCCCAACTCCTCCCCCCCTATCTCCCCCCTCTAACCAACCGCCACTCCCTCCCTCCCCCAAATCCCAAGTCCCCCCTCTCCCCCCCCCATCCAAGAGTCTCTGTAAATTGTAGTTCAAGTCTATCACAAAGTCCTTTAAGTCCTCAGGGAATCTCAAGTGAGCTGTAACTCCATTCTTCCATCCGATTAAACATGCAGGAATACCCCATCTACAGTGCATCTATTCTGTTTTTTCATCTGCTCTAACAGGGGTTTTAAAAGTCTCTTTCTCTTTAGGGTTTCTTTCGAGATATCAGCATAAATCTGTATATCTATTTATCCATACTTAATACTTGATTTTCCCTTGATCTTTCTCCATAGATCTTCCTTATCTCCATAATTCTGAAATTGAATTATTACATCCCTTGGTTTTTCTTTTCCGCCTCCTTGCTGGGGCTTTCCAGTTCTAAATATTTCTCCTATGTTGACTATTTCTGTTTCATTTCTATCCATTATGGAGTTTACAATTTTGCAGATTAAACCTCGTACTTCACCCCTCTTGGAAGTTCCGGAATACCCTTTACCCTTATGTTACACCTTCTCTCTCTATTTTCTTGTATCTCTAGCCTATATAGCAATTCTCTTTGATCCCTCTTTATGGCGAGTGTCCTTTGATCTAAATCTGCAATATTCTGGGCCTGATTTCTAACCTTAACCTCCATTTCCTCCAATCTGCATAACATCTGACCCATATCATTCCGCAAAATTGCCATTTCTTGTTTTATTGTTTTCTCCAAACTTGCATTTCACTTTGTTGTTCTCTTATCTCCATATTGCTTATTTTTTGTTGATTGCTACATTTCACTCCTCCTAGAGACAATCTGGGGCTACCGTCCACACTTACTTCCAATTCACTTTTTTCACTAGCCCCCTGGGATCTTTCTGGAGTCACATTACCTTGTGATGTATATTTTTTTAGCGAACCAGATTGAGACCCCTTTGGTCCATTACTTTTAACATTTTTATTCTTCATCTCTTCTATGTTTATTCTTTTCTTTTTCCTAATATAGGAACAGATCACTTGCACCCGGGACCTAGAAAAAACAAAACTTTTTCCTCTCTTTAGCCTTCCCAAGGAATCCCCCTCTTTACATGCAGACCCTCTTTTCCTTCTTCTTATATTATCATGAGTTCAATCAGGTCACTGCTGCAAACCATTATTCCACTATGTTCTAGTGTTAAATTCTTTCATTCACAGTCAGTCAGTTAATTTTTTTTCAGTTCTCACCTCTATTGACCCACAGTCTTCTGGGGGATTCCTCTCATCCACCTTTCAGGTCCCTTCCAGCCTCAGGGGCTCAGTGTCTCTCAAGGTCTCTCCCAGCCGAGAAGAGTGAATGAGTGAGGGAGGGGGGGAGAAGTTGACGTTCTCCTCCAGCAGCCGAACGCCGGCCGGCTTCTCTCCTACCCAGAGCTCCCTTGCGGCCAGTCTCTTGGTCACACCGCATCCGCGTGCCTCCCTGCTTCCTCCTCCAGCTTACGACTCTGCCCTCTGCCGACCCCCGGGGACCAATCACATCCTCCACATCTCTCACGTTGGACCGACTCTCCACCCTCCAACTCCCGGAGACGCCGCGTCCACGATCCACCGCCTCCTCTCCGCTCCTCGGGCTGCTGTCTCCTCTCCGAGACCCGCTGCCCCAAGGTAGGTCTGCGGTACTCTTCCCTCAGGCTTTTCCTTCCTCCAGGGTGATGGGAAAGCAGCAGAGAGCACCAAAAGCGTGCTCTCCTACGCCGCCATGATTAGGCTCTGCCCCGCCATGATTAGGCTCCTCCCGCCATGGGAGTGATTTGGTTTAACCCATGTTTACTTCCATTTTATTTGGAATGCTGTTCACTGGGCTGCACATTAGGCTTCTTTGGGCAACAGGACAAGGTAGAGATTTTCTTTTAGGGGGGGTTTCTTGATACCCCTATAAAAGACCCCACCTGCATAAAATAATATATATGCATGCATTGAGTATTAACATCTTCACCCCTGAAGAGAGGCCTGTGTATGCGGGAACTGTGGGTGGGAGGTGTTTTCTGAAATTCAATCAAGTTTGGACCTCTTGAGGGAACTGTTCAAAGTATTTTGAGTTTTTTTTTTTTTAAATTTAATGAAAATTATGCTCAGGATATTAGCGGTTTCCTTGGAGATCTTTTTCATAATTTTTTTTTTTACCACTCCCTCAATCACAGTGCAATATGACCACTTGATTGAATTGACCACTTTGATCCCATGGGCTTTAGTGTGTGGGTATTGGTAAACAATATTTGTTTTATAAATTGATTTTTATCACATAACAAAGGTACAGGGTAACTTATTACAGCAACTCAAAAATCGACTTTCATTTGTGTTTCCACCAAGGCTGATGTGCATTGATACACACCACAGCTACTTATAATGTAATACCGCATACACCTTATGGTGTATATGTCTGTGTTTGCACATGTACTAAATTGATTCAATAAATACACTCTTTTCATTGACCATTGCTGTTAACATTTTTTTTTTAGATCTGTTCAAGGCTTTAAACAGAGTTTCATTGCAACGGATTCATCAATGACTAGTTACACAGACAAAGTGTTTTCAGGCTGGGATTTCTGCATAAAGGATGAGAAGATCATAAAGCTTAAACAGAAGAGTATCCTGAATGAGCTGAAGGTAGGTAATTCTATTAGAGAACTCCAATCAAAAGATTAGCTTGGATCAAATAGAATTTGAACTTTAAAAGGCTGTTTTGTACTTGCCATAGTTCACTGCAAGGCATGTTTCCTCAGTGTGTGGATATACTGTCACCTACAGGAGGATTGCACACACTTTGCATATCAAAAAGAGGTCAGGCCCTCTAGTGGCTCTACCCCTGTACCTGCATACCAGCGTATCAGTAAATTAGTGTGAAAAAGCAGAAGTAAAAACAGAATATATTTTTGGAACTATTGCAACAGAAAGAGCACTCATTATTGAACTACTGTAGAAACTGATTTTACACCCTGTTCCAAATTATTATGCAAATTCTATTTAAGTGTCACAAAGATTAAATATTTTGTTTTTCAGTTTAACTCATGGATGGCATTCTGTGTCAGGGCTCTTTTGATCACTGAAAACAATCTCGGACACCTGTGATAATTAGATTGGCAGGTGAGCCCAATTTAAGGAAAAACTACTAAAGTAGGGTGTTCCACATTATTAAGCAGAGCACCATTTTCAAGCAATATGGGGAAGAAAAAGGATCTCTCTGCTGGCGAAAAGAGTGAAATAGTTCAATGCCTTGGACGAGGTATGAAAACATTAGATATTTCACGAAAACGTAAGCGTGATCATCGCACTATTAAGAGATTTGTGACTGATTCAGAGCACAGATGGGTTTGTGCAGATAAAGGCACATTGAGGAAGATTTCTGCCAGATCCATGCATCGGATCAAGAGAGCAGCTGCTAAAATACCATTACATAGCAGCAAACAGATATTTGAAGCTGCTGGTGCCTCTGGAGTCTCACGGACATCAAGGTGTAGAGTCCTCCAGAGTCTTGAAACTGTGCAAAAACCTTCTATTCGGCCACCACTAACCAATGCTCACAAGCAGAAACTGCTGCATTGGGCAGAAAAATACATGAAGACTAGTTTTCAAACAGTCCTGTTCACTGATGAGTGCCGTGCAACCCTGGATGGTCCAGATGGATGGAGTAGTAGATGGTTGGTGGATGGCCACCCTGTTTCAACAAGGCTGCGACGTCAGCGAGGCAGTGGTGAAGTCATGTTTTGGGCTGGAATCATGGGAACAAAGCTGGCCGGCCCCTTTAGGGTCCCCGAAGGTGTAAAGATGACCTCTGCAAAGTATGTGGAGTTTATGACTGACCACTTTCTTCCCTGGTACAGAAGGAAGAACTATGCTTTCCGTATTAAAATCATCTTCATGCATGATAATGCACCATCTCATGCTGCAAAGAATACCTCTGCATCAATGGTTGCTATGGGGATAAAAGGAGAGAAAGTCATGGTGTGGCCTCCATCCTCCCCTGACCTCAATCCTATTGAGAACCTTTGGAGCATCCTCAAGCAAAAGATCTATGAGGCAGTTTACATCCAAAAAGCAGCTCTTGGAGGCTATTCTGACATCTTGCAAACAAATTCAAGCAGAAACTGTCCAAAAACTCACAAGTTCAATGGATGTAAGACTTGTGAAGCTGCTATCAAATAAGGGGTCCTATTTAAAATGTAACCTGACCTGTTAAAATGTTTAAAAAGTTAAAATGTTAAAAGTTTGATTGAAATAGCTTTTGATTTTAGTAAATATGCTGCAAACACAACAAATGACAATTTTCAGTTCTTTACAACCTATTAAATGTTTTGAAACTTACTGTGCGTAATCATTTGGAATAGTGCATTGTAAGTTTTTTATGTTTAAAAAAAATACTGTTATCATTGGGAGGTTTGTTCAATAAAATTTGAATTTTACTCTTAATAGTTGATAACATGAGAATTATGCTGACTGTTATTTACATCAATTATTTAGGTAAATGAGAAAAATATCATTTGCATAATAATTTGGAACAGGGTGTATGGTGAGTTCAAAAAAATCTATTTCTCCTTGCAGAAGGAGGACAAAGGACTCCATTCTTCAATGTGTGCGATGTTCAAAAAGTAATGGGAAAGGATACCAACAAAAAGGGACTCAAGCAACCCTGAAAAAGTAGCGTAATGAATTACAATTTCACCTGCAGAACCTTCTATATAAAAGGAAACATCAGGCAATGCAACCATTTTATCCTCAGGAATCAGGATCAGATTTGCAGCTACATGTGTTCTTGTTGAATCCTGCAGGCTCAAAATTCACAGTCGCAAATATAGTGTGTAAGGTTGAATAAAGACACCAGTACGCCCAGTTCAACCTGTGTAAGGGTGTTTTTGTCAATACCATTTCTCATATGTCTGTATATTGCTAAGATGCCCATTTAAGAGTTTTTTTGAAATTATTGACACCACTGATTGTGGAAGGGCATTCCACATATACCACTTTGACAGTAAAGCACCCCCTACTCAGTTTAAGGTTTAACTGCTTCTCCTCCATTTTAATTGAGATCCTTTTCCATCCTGGATTCCCCCAAAGGTTCTCCACTTTCAAATAACCTGCATTCATGTTTTTGGCCCCGAAGTGCATCACTTTACATTTTTCGACATTAAATCTCATTTGCTATGTAGTTTCCATCCACTTTATTGTATTGAGAACTTCTTAAAGTTTTGTATATGCTGGAAGTTATTTCTTCCTGCTTTGTATTATGAAAAAACACTGATTGAGCTATGTTTGCCAACATTTATATAATTTATGAATATATTAAACATAAGTGGTCCCAGAACAGAGACTTGGGGTACCCCACTTACCACTCCAGACCATTTTGAGTACGCTCTATTTATCACCACCTTTTGTACGTTCCCCTGTAACCAGTTTTTATTATACAGGTACATATCCTAAGGTCTATGCCAACAGACCTCAATTTATAAATTAAGCCTTTATGGCGGACTATATTGATTGCTGTTAAAAAATCCAGATATCCTTTATCTAGATGGCAGCTCACTATCTCATAGAATGTTAAAAGATTGGTCTGGTAATTCCAATATTTCATAAATCCATACTGATTGTTACTGATATTTTTATCATTAGCGAATTCTTTGATATAGTCCTTTATCAGTCCCTCCAACAGTTTACATATTTGTAGCACCCTCCTAGTTAGCTAGAGGAAGCTCTAGTTCAATTGTTAGAGAGGAAGGCTAAGTGTGATAACCAGGTGGGTCAAATTGCAGCCAGAGCTGAGAGGCTCTGCAGACTAACTCTCTGGGACTTCCCCCTGCTCTAGAACTTTGGAGGTGAGGTGTGGCTGGTCTGTACTCCTTAGGCTCCTGTCTAGTTCACAATAGGAGGCTTGGCAAGGGGCCAGGATAGCCTTTAAGAGTAACTGAGCCTGCAGGAGAGTTCGGGTGGAATATGAAGAAGTGAGAGGTGAGACAGCTGGAGAGAAGATGCAGAGAGAGTTGTCCTCACTGCTAGAAACCCGAACCAGGCTGCAGAGCCAGAGAGGAGAGGCAAGAAGGAGTCGCTGACCACTAGCCTTGCAACCCTGTTCAGCGATACAGTCTGCCAGTAGGTGACCGGATGGAACACTGTAAGTGAAGTCGGAGAACCTGTGGAGGCCCCCATTTGCTGACAGAGCGAGACAGCCAGGACCAGCTGGAAGCCACCGACCGGGTAAGAGAATCCCATACTCCAGTTAAGCAAGTGAACACTGACATTCTCCTCATACCTGCTACTTTACCTGCACACAGTTGTGGATATTGCATCAAATTAACATGTGCTGTGGCCTAGTTCCCATAGCCGCTACTGTTGAATTTGCAGCAGTCCATCATCAGAGCTGACTGCAGTGTATGCCTTCTGCAGGCCAGATCACATCAGTGGTCCCTTAACCATTGGCCTACCCTTCTAAAGGAACTTTTACCACCATTGCCATTAGTTACTGCAGCCCAGAGTAGAGTTGTCCAGTTTGACACCTTACTTGCCTAAAGCTACCCTTTTCTCAGTGCATTAAAGGAGACAACACCCAAGTCAAGTGCCAATTAATGGGAAAGTGCGCTTGTCCTTTCTTCTTCCTCCCTTTGTGTTGCTCCTGTAAGGAATTGTTACCTAAATCACTTCATACTTGTGCACGAAATGGGCCCCAGCGAGCTTGTAGAAGACTCCTCACTGAATTTAAAGGGACATTGACTACCGTATTTCTTTGGTATCCATGGATCCTTGCTGGGGAGGAAAAACAGTTTCCTCTGCTCAGGCTGACTGTTGAGGAGGGAGGACGACCTCTCCTGGACTGTGGAACTGGCACTGGGGAGGTAAGATGACCACCTCCTCTCCCGGACTGTTGAATGATTTTTCGTTCCCCACTGTAAAATCCCTTTCTCTGAGTTCATTGATGGATACAGCATCTTTATTATCCATAACCAGACAGGGTTTTATAGCCCTACCTACAGGAGTAGGACACTAGGCAGAAAAAAACTCAGCATCGTCTTTGGGCAGTCCTCTCTGGGTCTAAAACCCCCCCTCTCTACTATAAGCTTCCAGTCAGGCACAAGCAGTGTCAAAGGAGAAAACTCCATGTTTGAGTGGGTGCTGTGTTTGTCGAACATGGAGAGAGGGATTTTACGGTGTTTAACAATTTTTTTTTTTTCTTACATTCATTGACAGAGAAGGAACGAAGATGGATGTCAAAGGCTCCGCACCAAACAATATAAGCTCATAAGGTGCAATGAAAAATCTTCTAGGAGGTAGACTCATGAGGCATTAAGAGTGGGAATCATTGAGCCAGAGAACCACCTGTCCTTCAGAACCTGGATTTCAATAGCCACGTCACCACGACGTTAAAGCCGGGTGGAACACAGGCCCCAGAGACAGAAGGTCCCCCTGAAGAGGCAGTTGCTAGAAAGTATGTGCCACTAACCACCTCACGCCGCCATCCCCCAGATGGCGAGGTTAGTCTGGAGCCATCAGAACCTGGATTTCTGATAAATACAGTAAATGGAATTTTTTCAGTCTCTATCCTAGAGACGAGGAATAGTCAGAGAGACAGAAAGGCGTAGATGAGATATACTGATCCCACAGCACTGTCACATCTACTGAGG